ATTTTGAAAGTAAAATAGATCGATACCGCGTTTTTAAAAATCAATTTGATATCAGCATATGAAAATATATTTGAGTATATTATTTCAAGTATCAGAAATGGATAATAAAACTGCTATTTTAAATGACTACTAATTTTTGTCCAGCTTTAACATCGGTATCGATATCGGTTATCGGCTACATAAGTTTTAAAATATTGGCATATCGGCCAAAATCCCAATATTGTGCATCCCTAATTTATAAGTTAAATCTGCTAGTTGTGAAACAAATCAAGCTGCTACTGCTGCTGTGATTCAATAAAAACTCGACATGGGAGGCAGAATCATAATCAGCGAACACTTTCTACATGAGACTTTCCAGATCGATACCTGTAGTTTTCATTTGAATTCTACAGGGTAATATGGTCAATATGGCTTACGCCAGGTAAGGTATTTTTATTACCGATTTTATAGTGTCAAGTTTTCCTACTTTTCAAAATTTTTTCTTTTTGAGAAAAATCACATCTTAAAATATCAAATCTGAAGAAAAAAATGTATTTAAAAAAGCATGTGAGGGGAAAAAACTAAAGAAAATCATTTTTGTGATGAAGTATCTGCGAGACAAATTTTCTATCAAAAGTTAATTTTTTCTTGAGACATTTTTCAAAGTTTAATTTTTTTGGATAGAGTTTTTTCACATTTTAATTCACAAAATCCGTTGGAGTTTTTGCTTTTATTACCATTTACAAAACATATTTTATAGCAATAATTGAACAAAATTTACTATATATCCAGCTAAAAATTTGAATATTTTAACATTTAATTTTTGCAGATGCTCTCTAACTAGCCATGAACTATTTTCCTTGAACTAAGACCTTAAAACTGTTAAAGAATATACATGCATACAAAACATACACAGAGCCTATCTTTAACAAGAAAAAACTAGACTAGCAGCTGTTTTACAAACAATGTCCTATATGGTGTTTCAAATGATCAACTTAGATTTTTAAATCATATTGAAATACATAGAAATAAGTGGTTTTACAAATGTAAATTATGGAAAAGCTTTAAAGCCCCTTTTTTAAGGCACTTTAGGTGAGAGGGAGATTAGTTTTTATTTAAGGTACATGTCTTAAATAAAAGACATTTCAAAGAAATTAAGCTGCATTAAGCTTAAAATAATTATCAACCAATTTAGTTATTGAACAATCATCAATTGGAGCATACAGACTCTACAACACAGTACAACGACCAACATTCATAAATGAAAACTATTTAAAAAAAATTAACATTTTACGATTAAGACAAAAAAAGATCCTGTAGGATATTTTTAACCTTAATTGTTTCAATCCTGTAATATTAAAAAAAAATCCCTTTCACACCTGATGCTTTCAGATTATTAGTCGAAAAGTCTACAGATGAATAGATTAGCAAAGTAGCCATCAGTTGCAATCCTACACAAAATGATTCATGCGCTCCCTAATTTGCTCGTTGTGTGTTTAGTGATCTGTTATCTCTGCCTCTACAGATGTTGACGACGGCGTGAAGAGGGAGTATATTCCTGTACCTATTCCTGTGCCCGTCTTCATCCCAATGCCTATGAACATGTATGCCCAGGTCACCCCTACTCCACTCTCTATGCCTGTACCGGTAAGACATACACCAGTAAAACATGACTTTACACGTGATGGTGAATTCTCTGTTTTTATTTTTAAATAATAATAATTTTGCATCTTTCAGGTTCCTGTGCCTGTGTTTCTACCCACCACCCTCCAGGGGGCAGAAGAGATCATTCAGACCATGAAGGATCTGAAAGCTGAGATGCCCTCCAACAGCATGGAAGCTGATGTAATAATCAAAGATGACGAGAAGCCAGGTGAGAGAGATTTCTTTGTTGCTCTGCTGAGGTGAAGATCCTTTAAAACAAGAATCTGTTGACATGAGGAGTCTGTCTGCTTGATCATTTTAGACGTGAAAGAGTTGATAGTGAAGGAAGACTGTGTCAAAGGCGAGTCCTCCAGCAGTAGCTCAGAGGAAGAGGAGGAGGTAGAGGAAGAAAAATACGACCCTGACCTGGATCTAGAGGCAGATTTTCCTCAAGGTAAGCTCTTTGCATCAAGGTTCCAGGCTTATCAAATAAATGGAGAATTAAATGAATGCACTACACAAGCTTAAGTATTCACACCCCTTGGAAAATATCACATTTTCCACATTTCTACTAAAGACCTCTAAATATTTGGGCCCATTTTGTGTGATGGACCAAGAAGCAGGAAGCAGCGTTTGCTTTTTTCAGCCTTGTTTACTCTGCTAACGAGAAATCTCCCCACAGCATAATTCTGCCACCTCCTTGTTGCACCATTATGGATTGGGTTTTAGTGATTTGGGTTCTTTTATTTTGTCTCAAGTTAGAATTCAGCTAAAAGTGTGTATTTTTTATGCTTATTGGGCTCCTTTAATTATGATTCGTTCTGTTGCAGTTTGTTTCTCTAACAAACCTCAAAGAACAGCTGGGTTTGTACTGGGTTAATGTTTATTTATATGGACTCCTGAGGGATCAGCAAATTTATCCTCACATAATAAAAAATTTTTTTCCAGAGATTCCTGGCTTTGAAGGCTCACATGGTGCATGGACAAAATTTTAAACACTTTTAGGAAATGTAAAGCACACTTAGAGAAAAAAAACATGTTCAGAAATTCTTGTGGGTAGTAACTAGTTACATTTACATTTTGAAAACAAATGTACTTTTAATTTTGCTCTTAAAATTTCTGGCTACTCCATCTGTTGAGTAACTTCACTTAATGAAAACAAGCTTGTTTTACATAAATATGCACCACTTATTTGTGTTTATTTGTGTTTAAGGCTGTTAAATATTTAATCAGTTGTAATGATTACTTTTACTTGAGTAAAAATATGATGCACTGCCATCATTACTTAAAGGTATTGTGGAGGATGTTCCTGAATTTTTTAAAAGACCCGCCCCCTGTCCAATTGAAAAAAACTCTGCGTGCAGGAGAGTTCTCCTAGCCTGGGTGCCAGTCCGAACTTAGTCCCGCCCACAAGGTTTGAGTTCGGGGAAGTTCGGTCTGGCTCTGCTCCATAGTAGCGCGAGTATTA